TAGATGTGACCCAAAAAAAAAAAAAAAAAATGCATCTGAACAAGTTTCATCATGCCAGAACAAAAGCTATTCTCTCTTATTTTGTCTCAGGATCAACAGAGGGACATTTTTCCAGCCCCGGATTTTCTGCTTGCCGACACTTCCGAAGAGAAATCCTCCTCCAGGACGAAAGACCACATCCAGAACCGAGGCCACATGCCGGGTTTTCTTTGCGTCAACCAGAGCTGTGAATGCCTGGCCTCATGCACAACAACTGCCCAAGAAAATGTGACATTAAACCAGGAAAAATCTCACCTTGAGAAAGGTAAGGAGAGTGTGTGAACACTAAATTGGCCGCACAAAAAAAAAAAAAAAATGGCGGAAACGAGTCAATTGTCACACATGTACACGTAAGCCAAACATCATGAGCTAGCCACGTTTATGTTGCCGGGTTATTCTCGGATGCCCAGGGGGAAACGAGTAAGATAGAAATCACAAACAGTCATGCCAACGAATTAAGAGCTTTAATTACTTGAGCGGGTGTGCACGGAAGCTCAGAGCTCAACGAGTTAGGTATCAGTTACTAACTTGTAATAGTAAAGACACCTGGCCATTATTTCACAATTCCTGACCACTTTCTCAACGTTTCAAGACAAAGAGGTTAAGTTAAAACAAATTGCCACGATAACTTACCCGAAATGAAATGAGCACCGCAAACGCGGGCACTCCTGATCATATCCTTGGTCTTCTACTCTTTATGTTTAAAATCCCCCAACCACAGGCTCTTCGGGGTTTTTGAAACATCGGTTTACTCTTGCAATTAAGATGTTTTTCAAAAGCCGTTCCACTTCGATTTGCACACCAGTACAATAAATTGCGAGGCATGTTGCTATTTTTTAACTACTCAATACAAACCAAACTGATCTTCCCTGTTTAACAAACTGTCAACCGTTCTTTTGCACTAATTGCGCGCGCGCAGTTTTTGATGGAGAACGAAAAGGAGTCTATTCAAATTCAGGATCCTGTGACGTCACCGTTCACAAAAAGTGGGCATTCCTTCATTTTAACATTCCAGAATAGCAAAAAAGGTTTTGTTCCCATCGCAAAGAGTCTGAAAGGAAAAAAAACCTTTCTATTTTACAGCCTGACAAAAATCGAATAAACGCTTTGACAGATACGCTTTTCATTGTTTGGCTCTACCTAGGTTTGGTCTAGCTTTACGTTGCTCAATTAAAAAAATCGGTAATATTGACTAAACGTATCAAAAACATTGGATCTTGAATCGGTAAACTACCCTCACTTTAAGAATTATAAGCAATAACCGAACACGTATGCAATAAAAAAATCAGTCTCGTGTGGTACGAGCATTCCACTTTTGTCTAATTGTTACCATTGGCAAGCCCAAGAGCATCCGTGAAAGATGACGCAAAATACTCCCACAAAGAACGTAAAAGTAGACGTTGCATGATGTGAAATAACCAACTCACCTAAATTAGCCTGCGCGGAGTCTTTTTCAATTCTTTAATAGCCGGCGACGTTAAGTTTCTGAGAGGTCTGTGAAGACGATGGTGATGACTTTAGAAATTCGACAGATGGAGTGGAAATTTCCATTGATGGCTCGCTTTACATTTCAGTCAGACTCCGACAAGTCCGCCCTTTCGCCTGTAGATAACCAATCAACGCCTCGCTAGTTTGCCTACACGACGTCGATTGGCTGCTTTTATCCCACTGACATTGGATCACAAAGCGATCTTTTAAACTGTTCCGCCAATGGAATGAATAGCTTGACGGGGCTTGGCTCTTAAAAAAAAAAAAAAAAAAAAGTGTTCAGTGCAAGCAAGTCATGTTCACTTTGACTTTGATAACTTTGACTGATCTGAATGTTTACAGACACAAATGTGACACTGCTGTAAATAATCAATTTCACAAAATGGTAACGATAGTGAGCCCCTGACCTTCATATCTTGCCATTCTATTCATTGTATATAGAGTATTCTGCTGCAGAAAAAGGCATACAAACACGTAGGTAGGACTTTTTGTTTTATTGCAATCTTCCAAATGTGCTTCTACATTTTCATACTGCCTTACACAAGAAACATTTTGCCAGTTATTTGCAATATGTTAGAATGTAGAAAATTATTGGGTTGAACAGTATTCCTTTCAGGTTTGGCGAGAAAGGCGCGTCAGGTTTGACTCCTGTAAAAACGCAGGTGCTTTTGTTGAAATAATTGGGTGAATGGCATAAGCAAGAAAGTGCTCGTTTTCTTTGCGTTGGAGTTGTCTTATGTGACCCCTATTAGTACAAATTAGACTTTATACTATTCAGTCATAGTAAAGTTTTGTTCAAAGTGCATATAGAATCTCAAATGATTGCCTCACCTGAGAAATAAGGTGTCTCTGGCCTACAGTAAACTCGAATTTATGCTTTCCATTGTTAGTTGAGCACAATACTGACAAAACTGCAGTTTGTTTTTTTTTCAAATGGATGAATGTATGTGCATCACAGATCAGGCCCACATGCATCGGCGGATGGCTGCAGATTTCATAAGGAGTCCACATCATGTTGATTTACAAAACCTCATTCAAGGCCATTAGGTTAACACAGGCTTCCCAAGATACAGTGGCTCAGCTCCTGAAAATTTGTCAAAACTTTGCTCATCTTGCATAATTTGGATTTTTATAAACCGTTTTTTTTTTTTTGCCCTTTCCCTAGGATAACTTTCCCCTCTGTGACATCAGCTTTAAACCAAGAACATGAGCCCTTGTCAGAGGTGTCCCGGGAACAGCAAGGATCACAAAGACAATGAGGTGGACATCACATGATGATGGGAGCGATGTCACTGAGTCACATGATGAAGCGCATCATGCATTCTCCCACTCTTGAGCGCCCGTGCTAATAATACACTCCAGCTGTCCTCCCGAAAGCCCCCATGAGGATGAATGCTGCTAGACACAGCACGTCAAATCAAATAACTTTTGTGGTAGCGTCTGGTTACTGACAAAGGTGTGGCAGTGAAAAGGAACACAGAAGTATTTCGTCAGCCAGATAACATAATTTCTTAAGTCATGTTTCAGTTATTTTGGAAAACAAGAAAAAACACATTTTTTTATTGATATCATCACAAAACACTTAAGTTGATGTGTGAACAAATAAGCAAAGGAAAAAGACATTTCGTTCATTGCTGAACAAATAAAAGTGACTAATGCAGAATGTGCCATGACTTAGGCATTATTTTCTCTGACATATAAATGCGAACATAACTTAAGCAAAGTTGTTTTACTCTTCTTCATGTTGAACCTTGACCAGTTTTCCTTTCCCACCTAAAAGGGACACTTGATTGGGTTGAACATTCGCACTTACATAATAGATCTCTGTAAAAAAAAAAAAAAAAATGTCAGCACTAAAATTTACCCCCCTAAAAAACTCAGTCGTAACTTAATGAGTTTTTTTATTATGTTCAACTCATCTTAATGATGCCCATTTTTATGGACGCGTCCTGCTTTTTATTTATTCCATCTCAGCCTGTTAAATGAGGGAAGGAGGCAAACATTGTAACATTGTTTCCTGGCTTGTTTTGTGACGTTCCGTTGTCATCTAGTGTCTCAAAACAGTGACCAATACCCAAAATTCATATGCACCGCTCATCTCATGCCTACTTCAACCTGTGGAAATGTAAAAGCCATCGGCACAATATTTTGGATTTTACTGACATTAAATACGAGTTGCTGTGAAGAAAAGCCATTATAACGTCAACAATGATACAGCCGATGTTATTCCGGTTCCGGCAAGGAGATAATTTTGTACAGCTAGCCTCGGCTCTATTAGCAGCCGAACATGAATTGAGTCTTGCCTGCCAATGGAGTCGAACCAAAATTTTACGTCGCTAAATTTCCAACCAATAAAAGCTGCTTTAACTTGGCCCAGACAATCCTACCTTATCAAAATTTCATACATTTGATGATAGTCCACGCCTGAAGACTTCTACAAATGTATTTTTCATCGTAGTGGTTGCGCCACCGAAAGGAAATATGTTTTACTTTTTGATGTTGTTCTCCACTGTTGGGGAGAGAGTGGCCTTTCTCTTCCTCCGCTTTACGTCGCTAAATTTCCAACCAATAAAAGCTGCTTTAACTTGGCCCAGACAATCCTACCTTATCAAAATTTCATACATTTGATGATAGTCCACGCCTGAAGACTTCTACAAATGTATTTTTCATCGTAGTGGTTGCGCCACCGAAAGGAAATATGTTTTACTTTTTGATGTTGTTCTCCACTGTTGGGGAGAGAGTGGCCTTTCTCTTCCTCCGCGTGTTCGTTAATTTTGGATGATGAGAATGTTGGTGATCGACATACAGACTGGAGACGATGAACAGTACCTTCGAAGGTTTTCTTTTTCTTTTCTGCAGTTTACGAATCGATTCGGGCTCCTGAGAGTTTCAGATTTCGTCAGGAAGCCCAGAAAAAATACAGTCATGAGAATATATAGAGACAATATGATAATGAGAGGCGGGGAGTTACGCCTCCATGCAAATCCCGGAAACAAAGAAAGGTCGATGCAATCCGATCTTGGCATGTTGGGAAAGTCCAGACCTCTCCCGCTGTGCGTACATCTTGAGATAAGAGTCCCTCCCCGGGGAAGTTGACGGCCTTCAGGGACTCTCCCGAGGTGGGGGTCAAGGGGAACTAAAGGTAATTGTAATCACAGTAAGCAGGAAATGACTTCAACAGCATTCTATATTCTTTGTTTCAAGTGTTTGAACAGAACCAACAACAGAGAGGGGCTAAAAAATTCACAGTAAGGAATAGATTCCTTAACACCACCTAGAGGGTTAACCAGATCAACCTCATATTTGCTCAAAATAGTGTCAAGGCCTTCATGATGTTGAAATACAAAGCTTGTGAGTTTTCATGAAGCGCCGTTACCTTGGCAACACATTGTTTGCCAAGAAAACAAGGCTAATTTTGAGGGTCTTAACATGCACAAAAACGTCAAACTTTGCACACACACCAAGCCTGAAAAAAAAAAAAATCATTATTTTCTTAGTTTATTGTGCAGTTAAAAAAGGGCTCAGACGATCTCCCTACAAATTAAAAATATGTGCAAACATGTTTGCAAATATGTTTAAACCTGTACGAACTCCAACAGAAGGTGCAAGTCACTGAAAGACTCACCTTGCCCCTACCTGCGTTCACAAACACACACTGGTTACAGCTGCAGCATGGAAACAGGAATTGTATTGGAACACAATGGCTCTTTGTGAACTTTTTAATGTTCTAAAATTTAAATAGATGGATGGGACAGTAAGAAAATAAATTGCTGAGGGAGATGAATGGGGGCTGGAGGGGACTTTATCAAAACCGCAAATGTGGCACGAGAGAATTTGTAAGTAAACTGCTCATTTCCTCAATCTCTCACAAGTGAGGAATGGAGAAGTTAATCGTGATCATTTCAGAGGTTCATTCACATCAAGTGGTCATGAAGTCGAGATGTCCACAAACATTTGGTGCAGATTGATTGCCGTTTTTGGACATAACGTACAACGATTTTGAATGGACAAATTGTGTCCGGTTCCTCTGCTAAATCCCACCAAGACGTGGGAAGAGGTAGGAGGCGTGGCTATTCAGCTGACGAGGAAGAGACGTTTGGAGAGTTTAGGTATTAACTGATTTGTCCAAAACGAATTGATAAAACTGAAAATGTAAGTCATTTTGAAATTAAAAAAAAGGGCTATCCCAGCCGGATGATCCTTTTAAGAAACATCAACAGGGTCTGCTAGTCTTTACTAGCAAACATTAGTTTAAAGTTAAAGTACATCGTTCATGTTCAGTGGCGGACCCTGAGGGCCAGCAAGGCCTTCTCTGCTGGCCTAAACATTCTCAGAAAAGCAAATTTACTTTTCTGAGAATAACATAAATTTGTTGTTTTATTTTCATAAATATGTTAACAAAATTATTCTCTGTATTCTTTACGTCATATTATTTCCACTTAGTTGAGTGGCTTTCAATGTTATTTTAAATAACATTGAAAGCCACTCGAAAAATAACTTATTTATTATGGTAGAGTTTTTAACCAATCATATTTCATCTAGCTTGTGTTGCCAGGTTAATTAAACTTGACTCGGGGCCTTCAGATTAAACAGAGCAGGCCCCTGTGGGCTGTAAGTGAACGGGCACCGTCAGGTTTCAATAGCCAATCAGATCCCGAGTCTCAGACTCGTGATCTGTATCCTGTATCCTGACTTGTTCTCCCTGCATACTAGGGCTAGCGAGAAGGCCTTACGTGGAGACTGGCCGTGCGCGTTCGGTGGTTGGATTAGCGCCTTTTCTGTTTCCTGAGATTTGTATCCTGACTTGTTCAATAAAGATTTAAAAAAAAAAAAAACGATTGGATATGCACCGCCCACGAGAGCGATCAATGCATTTTAACCCAAAATGGCTGAAGGAGGAGACGTTGATCTGGTTGTGGAACTACTTTCCACACAATTTTCAAGACGGACCTTCCACCAAAAGCTGGATATTGTGCGAAGAGGTCGCCCAACTCCTGCGCTAGCTAACCTGTCCCGGCAAGGAAAAGAGTTTGTCCGTCATTTTCAGACGAGCAATTATGAACGCTACCCGTGACTCACAGCCTCTGTAAACGCTGCACATTGTACTGCTGGGAATGCCTATTGCTTGCAACTGACCGATTTGGTGTTTGGAGCCACACTGGATTGTTTTACTAAGGCAGCAAGGAAACGGCTGGGCACTTACAAGCTATGGTGCGTTTAAAAACGTTTGGGGACACTCACGTAGATCTGCACCTCAGTGAAAAGGCACTACATTGGTGAGTAAATGAATTTTATTTTACATTTCTTCTTGTCATTTTATTTCGTTAGTATTAAATTCATGGCAACGAAATAAAATGACAAAGATACAAAAATGTATCAAATAAATCTGCTCACCTGCAATTTATAATGGCGCATTGTAGTCACCTTCGTGCACGAAAGTTCGTTCAATCTCAGCTGTTCGTCAGTTATTAGTTAGTCAGTTATGTCAGTTATTTGCTGTTGTATCGCCGATTTTCAA